ACTCCAGTATCTTTGCCAAGAAAACCCTAAATGGGGTCGCAAAGAGTCAGACACAATTGAAATAACTGAACAAAAATACTAAATGAAAAAGCTGAGGTAAAAGAAAGAGAGAGAGAGGCAACTAGGGGGTTTGTACAGAGGATAGAGCACCAGGCCTGGAGTCAGGAAGACCTGCAAGACAAATCATTTAATGTCTGTTTGCCTCAGTTTCATCATCTGTAAAATGAGAAAAATAATAGCCTCTACCTCCCAGGGTTATTGTGAGGAGCAACTGAGATCATAATTGTAAATTATTGACACACAGTAAGTACTATATAAATATTTAAGTACTACATAAATGTTATCTGTTATTAGTTGGATGACCCCAAGCAAGTTACTAACCTCTGTTTGCCTCAATTTCTTCATTTGTAAAATAGGGATAGTAATAGCATCTGCTACCTTCCAGGATTGTGGTATAGATAAAATGAAATATATGGAAAGTGCTTTGCAAACCTTCAAGCACCATATAAATTTCATATATATAATATTTATATGTAACACATTGTTTTTATCATTATTACATTATATGTTTATGTTATAGTTTTGACTGTTTAAATCTGTAGTTGCACAATGAATATGAATCTGAAGGAATTTCACAAATAGGTGCCTGTCCTGGCAAATATTCTTTTTAAAGTTATATTTTTAAAGTGTCATTTATCTGTGCAGCAGCTGCAAAGATTTACTAGTGATGTTATCAGACCAGGTCAAATTTGAGGCTTTGGGACAGGAAGACTGTACCAGGAGCTGCAACTTTCTCCTTTTATTTTTCTATTGGTCGTGTAATCCTTGTACTTCTCTTTTAAATCACTTACCGTGTAAGTGTGTGTGTATGAAGGAAATGGGGAGCAGTGGGAATTGGGGGGAGATGAGCACATAAATATTTGATTGAAAATTAATATGTAAGTAATTATCTTGAGCAAAAACTAATCCTATCCAAGAGTCGGCTTGTGAACTCTATGTATGTGATGCTTGTCCTATTCAGAGCCCAGGAGTTACAGATCTGAATGGTATGTACTTTCTCATAACCTTTCCCAAAGGACACACTAGGTGTACAAAATAATAAATAATGAGTTTTCCATGATACATCAAGTCAGTCTTATTAATGTGGAGTTCTGTTTTATTAGACAATCTTGAGATTATATTGGTTAAAGGAGACCATGAAGAGAGGATCAGACAAAATTATCTTAAGGATTAAAATAGACATAGTTAATTGGCATAATCATTTTCACCATGTCAAGTGGAAGAGAGGACATGGAAGAAAATTCTGCCAAATACCTTGTTACTTTGATCTGTGATTCTCCTAGTTAAAGTCATACTTGAGTGTGACAATTCATTCCTCTTTCTAAAATAACACCATGCACATCAACTTATAAATAAACTTGCTTGGAGAAAATCATATAAAGTAGTAAAGACTTGAATATATTTAAATAATTTATATATCATAAGATGAATGCCATCCAGTACCCATGTGTGAATTGTTTTCCTCTGGGCACAAGGATGCAATTTATGAAGAAACTGGCAGAGCAATTTCTACTGTTCTGGACACTAGAGGGTGATTGCTTTCCCTCCCCTCCCAGAGAAGAAATCACATAGGATAAAGGAATTGTGTCTTTACATTGTGGCATACTCTTCCACTTTTCCCTTCCTGTTTTTCTTCCTTTGCTTTCTCCACATGGACTTCCTTAGAGATGACCCCCAAGGGGCAGAGGTGGAAGCTGGGCTACCCTGTGAGTAAGCCAACCAGGGAGAAACCAGCAAATATTTTAATGTTTGGTTGGCAAAGAAGAACAGAACAGAGGAATGTTTATGAATCCGTGAGCTCACCTTATGTACAGTTTTTGTTTTTAAAAAGTGAGAATTAGATTTAATTTGATAGTAACAAAATTGCCATTTGTTTTTGTCTGGATTTCTGAACTTTTTGTTTTCATCTTTGTATTTTATTGTTTTGTTGATACCCTTTCTTTTTTTTATCTCTATGCCTACCTACTATCTCACCAACTCACCCCCACTCCAGAATAGAAACCCTTCACAAAGCAAAGCCAAACATGGGCCATGTTTGAAAATGCATGTCTCACTCTGATGTCCTTACTGTAAGCTCAGAGAGAGCAGGGACCAGTTCATTTTGTGTGTGTAGCACCTAACACAGGGCCTATCACATGATGGGTGCTTAGCAAATGCTTGCTGATTAATTGATTTCTTCATCTCTAGTTCATTACACAATTCCCTAGAGATGAGAGACATGAAAGGCATGAATGATCACCATACTCAACTTTAATTCTTTGTAGACTTGCCAGTATACATCATCTCCAGAAGAATATTGTTATTTCAAAAGATACCTTTAGATAATTAAAAGCACTGATCTAAAATATCCTGATTTTTTTACCTATCGAGCTCCAGCCTGATCTCATAGGTAGTACCTAGGAGCCCCCAAAGAGGCAGAGATTCTTTATCTAGCTTCATTGCAGTATTGGAAAACAGTGGCAGACAGGAGATCCTGTTGAAGGTACTAACTAAAAATATTGGCAGCATACATTTTCTAATAACTCTATGGATTCTAAGTCTCTGTGCTCTTCTACCATGAAGGGTAAAAGTTTCAAAAGCAAAATCAGTGGTTTCCAAGGAACAAATACATCGTAACACCTTTGCACTGTCATTTTTCATTTTTCCCATCAGTACATCTGAAGATGAGAAAATCTGTAAAACCAGACTTTTCACAGTGTGACTTATGGCAAAATTGTCAGTCAACAAGCATTTATTAAGTATTTACTATGCTGAGCTCTAGAGATTTGAAGAAAGGCAAAACATAGACCCTGTGCATAAGGAACTCACATTCTAACAATAGAAACAACTATGCGGCTACAATATTCTCTCAGGTAATGTCAGAGGGAAAGTACTAGCAATCACAGGGACTGGGAAAGACCTCCTGCAGAAGGAGGTATTTGAATTGAGTCTTGAAGGAAGCCCAGGGAAGTCAGCACATGAAAGCTAGAATGGATAGAATCCCAGATATCAGCAATAGCCAGTGAGAAGGCGCAGTTGAGAGATGGAGCGTCAGCAATGAGGCCATTGTTATAGGATCAGCGTGTACATGATTGGAGAGGATGGGAGAGAAAAGTGCAAGAAGCCTGGAGAGGTAGGAAGGGGCCAGGTTTTGAAACGCTTTAAATACCAAACAGAATTTTATTTTTGATCCTAGAGGTAATAGAGAGCCACTAGAGATTATCGAGGAGGGAGTGACATGGTTAGCCATGCTCTTTAAGAAAATCACTTTAGCACCTAAATGGAGGATGGATTCCAGTGGGAAGAGACTTGAGGCAGGGAGACCAAGGCTGTTGCCATATTCTAGGCATGAGATAATGAGAGCTTCATCAAAGTTGGTGGTTGTGTGCAAGAAGAGAAAGAAAAAAATATACAAGAGGTATTATGAAAGTATAAACAAGAAGACTTGGCAGTAGATGAAATATGTGGCATGAGTGCAAGAGAGAAATCAAATGACACCAAGGTTTTGGCCCTAGGTGGCTAACAGCATAGTGGTACCTTCGACTAGTACTAGGGAATTCTGAGATAAGAGAATGTTGAGAATGGGGAGAGAAGATAATGAGTTCTGTTTTGGACATATTTGAGTTTGAGAAGACTGCTCTGTCTATTGAGTTTGAGATCTCCAAGAGACAGTTGGTGATGTGAGACTGGAACTCAGGAGAGAGAGTAGGGCTGGACATATGATTATTGAATCCATTGGAGGTGTGGAGATCATGTTTATTGCGTGTGACCTAGAGAACAATCCAGCAAAGGAAACTCAGAAGAAGTAATAATACAGGTAGGAAGAGAACCAAGAGAAGGCAATGTCATAAAAACCGAAAGAGGAGAGAGTATTCAGGATGGAGCGGTGATCAACAGCAGCTCAGGATACAGAAAGGTCAAGAAGGATAATAATTTTAGAAAAGGCCATTAAGTTGACAATTAAGAGATCATTAATGAGTTTTGTCATTATAGTTCAGTCAGGAGTTCTGATACTGAGAAAATAAGTGTCTGCAACCTGTCTTGTATTTTTTACTTATTTATTTGTAAAGTTATAGAATCGATCTGCAAGTTTAATGCTGCACTAAGTTTAAATGTTAAAGACTGTAATGGGTATAAGCCTGTACTTGTAGATAGGATTACTTCGCAGCTGCACCTTTGTGAGAGCAGACTTGGTAGGCAGTTTAAAGAAATTTTGAAGCTGTGCACAGAAATTTCAAAAAGTAAAAGTTATCAGCTTACTTTTCTTCACTATCTCCCCATATTGATGCCTGGCTCCACTCCTGACTCTCTGGACTTCTCTGCCTTGCCTTCTTGCCCTGACCCCCTTCCTAGCTCCCTTTAATGTATTGTCTTCACCAGTTACAGTTTGAGTTCCTTGAGGAAAGAAACTGTCTACTTACCTTACATTTGTGTTTCCAGTTCTTAGCACAGTGCCTGACACACAGTAGGAACTCAACAAATGTTTTCTATCTATCTCTAAAAAGCACCTCCCGACTTAATCAAAGTTTTTCCTTATCCCATAATCCAGTCAGTATAAGGATTCTTCTACATAACTAAATACAAATGAGTTGCATTAGCCTGTTAATATTATCTGACATATCAAAAAAGCTGCCTCTGATATTTTATGATGCTACTTTCTCAAAAAAAATTATATTTCTTGTATAAATTGA